TTCAGGAACAAAATATTTGGTATCAGTCCTACCTGTAACACATATTTTCGAGCACGTTCAACGTCTCCTGGCTTACTGAATCGTCTCATTATCATAGCATTCATTTCTGGAAACTAAGCACAAAGGGAGAAGGTTTTATACTGCTTACGAGTTGTCTTGTGTAGCTGCCTGCCATGCTAAGCTCAAAAAGAAACCAAAGTATAGACCTCTTCCCCTGCCACTGTTGTTACTACAGGTATAGCTATAGGTTAATACCTATAGCAGTCTGCATAGGACTATAGTATAGCAAACCCCAAGCATTTAAAACTTAAACTGGCTGGCTCCGTTGGCTGTAGCCAGTTGGCAGTGAAAGTTAGCACTGGCATTTCATCATGTGGAGCAGATGATCCAGTGTGGCAATTTCTGAGGTGGCTACTTCCAGGTGTATAATCTGGTCGAGGTATTCTGATCACAAATAGTGGTTGGTGTTGGCACACCTAGAACAAGCACCTGTTCTCCCACATGTACAACAGAGAACCCAGGAGGTTTGTTGTATCTATATTGAACAGTTCAACTTGTAAAACTCTTTGTGATACCTTTGACTGGTACACCCACTTATGCTTTCCATTACACAGGCTCTGTCTCTGGAAAGCTCTAGACAGATTTATTTTTTTTTTAAGAGAAAAATGACAACTATAATGTATTTTGTGTTCAGTCAGTAGAATTTGTAGTTAGTACTGCACACTCAATTCCCTACAAATCAGGTAGATTAGTTACTGAAGGCAGTTGTCTGAGAAAGTCACTGCGTGACTCTAAACATGCAGGCACTTTCTTCAAACAGTCCAGAAACAGAAAAACCTGGTGCTTAACAAACAAAGGCCTCAACTCAAGGCAGCTACTCTGCAGAAGAATTATTTTTGAAGAGGTGTTTGTTCATCCTGCCTGAAAGGGCTATAGTCAAACAAAGATTATTTTATTGTCGTACATTTGTAAACAACGATCTACTTTCCTTGCACACCTTTGGTCCTGAAACTGTAGATCTACAAACTTGTTAGGGAACAAACACGTAACCTCCCTCATTGTTGTGACATTTCTGTGTTACTCATAGGTAGTCTTCTTGGAAGATATATTTAGAAGTTTATTGGCAACTCGTACTTGGCTTTCTTTACTTCCTACCTTTCTTCCCATGTAATGACAATTTAATTGCAACGTTCATGTAATCCATTTTCATAGTATTCATATTTACAGTTATACAGGATGCATATGCTTTCACTTTTTATCTTTAAGCACTAAAGGATATAAAAATTCGCAAAGCTGTTCTGCAGATTTAACGGGCAGTATATAAGCATTTGACAGGAATGCTTAGAATAAAAATAAACCCTCATACCTCAGCTGTACAAGTTTAAGAGTGGCTTTAGACTTAGCGTATACTAGTGTATTTCCTTCATTTTTTTTTTTTTAACTGAATGAAGTAACTTTAAATACTGAATAAATAGGTCTCACATCAAGCTAAACATTTTTTGTGTAAAGGTCTCTCCTTAATATTCTAATGCACAAAGATGTATTTCAGAAGGAGAGGAGAGGACAAAAAGAAAAGGCGGCTGTCACTGAAGACCCAGAGCACGTTAAGAACTAAAGTATGTTTGTCAAGAAGACAACATGAGGATTATCAGATATATTAAAGGGTATGCAGGATAGCAGTAATACTAATTTCAAGAGAAAAGACAGCCTGTAACTAACAATTACATTTTGGACCATCTTCAAGTCCTGGCTGAGGAGTTTTTATTCTCAGATACAAACAGACGAAACATCTTTTAGTAGCAGCACAGATAAGTGTCTGTTGAAGCTCCAAATTTTTTTAGCACTTATAACTTTGTTTATGTATCACTTAAATCTGTAGTGCTGCTCTTCCAGTTTCTTGAAAACAGCAGGAAATTTTCAGCAAAGAAGCCTTCCGGTTAATGCGGAAAACTTTGCAAGATGGTCAAGTTATCATTCAGTGCAAAAAATGTACGCTTCCCATCTATCGAAGACATAAATGAGGAAAAGCGTTTAAAAGTGACCTACAAAGAATAAGTAAGACTTTAGAATAGAACTGACAGATTTTCTTTTCTTGTATTAGGAACTCATTTATCTGATAAAGCTAATTAAATGATAGATGAAGTTGAAAGTCAGACACAGCCAACCCAAACACATGAATAGAAGAATAGTTTTAATTAAAAAATTGGAATATTCAACACCTGCAAGACAATCAGTGCCACCCAGTCTCTACCAAAATCAAGAGTATTTGCAACATGTCCTTGTTTCTCTCTACAAGCAGCTTTAACACACAAACCAACCAACCGTTTCACAATTGCATCCTCTTTCTGTACCCGAGTCTGTCACTGTGCTTTAGACAACTCCAGTTGCTGATGACTAACAAGATCCTGCTGCTTATCAATCAACAAATTCTGAAATAATGATTCAAGAACAAGTTTGTGAAATCCCCAGATAAGTCTGTGGGGAGGAACTGAGAACATGGAGGAGGTTGGCCTCAGCATGCATTTGTCTGCATTCTTAAGTGGCCGCCATTCTTCAGTTGCTTGCCTGTCTTTTCTGAAATACATGTCCTTGTAAATGCCCAAAGGAGGATGAAACAAACACATGCGTATGTTCCACCTCACCCCACGCTAGGCTCTTTATGATATTTGCTTCCCTCCTCTTTCTTAAAGTTTTATTTATTTATTTATTTTAAAATTATTTAAAACTTTTCCCATGTCAAGTTCTGAGCAACTCCAATGAGAGATCACAGACTAGAGCTCTACTGGAACTAGTTATGCCAGTTTTTGTATCATGCTGTGAAGTCTGGTAGGAAGGACT